CGTCAAGGACCGTCCCAGGCATCTCCAGAAAAGGAAGGGGGGCCAGGAGGAACGAAAGATTGGGAAGACAGGCATCAACAAGCGACAAATTCGCTCGTAATATATTGACCCCGGTGCCCATCACATCCCCCACAAGCTCGCGAGTTCCTGGTTTTTCTCAAGTTTCCTTCGTCGAACGCATTGTTGTGCAATTCAACGCGCTCCCGTCTGGTTGACATCCATCCTTCCCGTCTTATTGCGCGCACCGTCCTCCTGGCTCCTCCGTCCACCAGTGACAACTTGCAGCGACGCGGGCGATCCGTCACGGCCAAAGCCATCCACAGCAACCGAACCGACCCAGCGAAACCCGTCCGCTTGCGACATCCAAACGCGGGTCTGGTATCCACATCGGCTTCTCAACTATCAATTATTTCCCCTCGAGCCAGAAGGGTAGATCCCGGCACAAGGTCACTGTGCCTTGCGCCGCGCGAAACGACCACAGTTACGGGGCGGCGTACCACCAAAGGCCGCCCAGGATTGAGCTGCCTGTACCCACTGATACACCTTACCACAGTGACACCGCCCACTTTGGGCGCAAGTCCCTCAAGATGAATGGCACTTGGGCCTATGACCCCCTGCCGTACAACTATCGCGCAGGACTGACAGGGGAACAAAAGAAGGGCACCAAGGCCCCTAAAAGGCCCAGCAGGTCCTCTGATGGCCCGGTTCCGATAAAAGAACTTCCGTCATCCCCTCCAGGTCCTCCTGAGAGACCTCCGCCTCCATCCCATCAACTGACTCACGACATGTCGAGTACCTTCCTGGGTCCAGCCATCGATGGGCCACCGTCCCCAGAAAGCATCCGGGCCCTAAACAAGCAGATGAAGCGGACATCTGTCTTTGACAAGCACCTGAGCCAACAGACAAGCTCGTCCGGATCTTCGTCACTTCGGTCTCTTGCGTCGGGAGGTCGGCCTTCGTGGGAGCACGGCTTCGAGGGCATTACTCTCTCACGGAAATCGTCTGGAAGGTCTACGGCTAGCAGCATGCCCAACCGTGAACGGCCAGAGAGTGTGCAGATATTCGGCAAGACCTTGTTCAACCGGCGGGGCAAGCTGAGTCGCGAGACCAGCGCCCAGAGCTCATCAGCCAGCTCATTATACTCGGCGGATAACCCCAACGAGGCCATGCCGTCACCGACGCTCATTCCCACCAAGCAGTCTGCATCGAAGATATTCGGCCGGCGTCGGACACTCAAGTCGGTTGCAGCCGATACAACCGCCCCCGAGAAGAGATATCAGATATCAGTACCCTACAACTTCCAACACGTGACACACACACACAAGGATCATGCACCAGGGACACAGCGGAGGAGCAGGATGGGCTCCGTCGCCGAGTACAATGAGGCCCAATTTGCTGATTTCTCTTCCGAAGCGCTGCCCCTTCCTGAGGCAGGGGAGCACCCTTTCCTTGCCCATCCGCCACCATACATCGCCCAGATATCCCCACGGCGGCAACTGCACCATACAAGGTCTCAAGAGCAGCTGCGGGCGCCTCCTCCCCGGCCGCCAAGGTCTCCTGTTGAGCCCGAATATGCAGCCAACCCGCCTGTACCACCGCCACGTGTCTCTAGCCGCATCTCCATGCGTTACGACGGATTCGACCCGTTAGCGAGTGCGGATCTTGACCGACCTCTAACCAGCGGGGGCTTCCGTCATCCTCGTCCCTTTGGACTGCCAGAGGATACGACATCGCCGCCCATTTCACCAAGGACGGTGCTTCCGACTGACAATGCGAACTGGCCCCTGCCCAGTCCTTCTGGCCCAACATATGACAGCTTCCTGGCTGGTGTTCCCGAGGAGGACGAGAACCCGGCCGTGATTCGTCCATCGCGAGCCAGCATAGCCAGCAATTCTTCATCGCTCAGAGCCAGCCAATCGGTCCCCCTGCTAAGGCAAATGTCATCCTCTCAAGGGCCGAAGAGCCCTGGCATCCGACGGCCACCCAGCGCTGCCTCCGACACGCTTGGGCGCCTTGACCTACTGGCAGCGCAGAGAGCCTTGAAGGCCGCTCTGACGGAAGGAGGTGGTGCCGACGAGGTCGAGCGCGAAAGCTGGGAAGATGATATTGACTACTGCTATGAGCACGAAGCAGAGGCAGACTGCGACTTTGCTTGGGACCGACCGTCCCTAGATATCAGCAGGGATGGCGATACCGTGACACCGGTCGAGGGCGATCGTCGGCAGAACCCTCGCGTCGACGTGTCATCGGCGATGCTCGCGCCTGGGCAACTCGATATGCCGGCTCTGAGCCCGTGCAGCCAGGCGTCAACCACCACGGCGCAAGAGGCCATCACGCCAACTGTAACCATACCCCGGGCTTCCAACTTTTCACTTCCCAAGCGCGAGCCCGTTCACTCGCAGCGGTTCCTCCACGTGAGGAAGTCCTCTGATGCATCCAGCTTCAAGGAGTCGCACGGCTTCACCCTCTCGCCCTCGCTGCTCATCCCGGCCGACTACCGCGAGCAGATGCAGGCCCACGAGAGCGGCAACGTCAGCCCCCACACGCTATCGTACCAGGTGCCCTACGAAGAGCCAACACTAACAATGGACAAATCCGCGCTCTTCGTCTACCCGCGCACCAGCGCCTCCACAACCGGCAGCAACGAGACCGACCGCTCCCAGTATTCGGAGCGGCACATCTCCACCACCTCGGCCTCGACAGACTTCACCCGTCTGACGATGAGCACATCCTCCCTCGACATCGAGAGCTACATCCCCAAACCGGACGCCGTTGAAGTCATGCCTCCTCCCGTCCCCGTCGTCGAGGAAGTCCTCCCCGCCGTCCACGCCCGCGCCAAGAGCCACGGCACCATCATGCCTAGCCTGGCTGAGTCGGAGGAAATGGCGGACCAGCCCGGCCCCTTGCGCCGCGACCTCAGCGCCAGCGACCCGAACCTGGTCAGGTTGGCGACCAAGTCGCCTACCAAGAAGAAGGATGCGCTGCTCACTCGCCGGAGGGCGAGGACGACTAGCCTTAGTACGCCGCCTCCGCCGGGGCAGTACGCGTTGTTTCCTTCGGTGCAGATTTCGGGGAACCGGATCTGATTATTCTACTACGATGTCATCATAAGATCATACACAATCATCTTTCACCATTTCATTTTTCAGGGCCACGGGGCGTCTGTCGTTTGGCATAGACGTATGTTTGGAGTAACTTTCAAAAGGTTCGGACTTAAAAACTTTCTTGGGACGGACAACTTGGGACGGCACGGACAGATTGAGGCGTCTATAGGCTTGCCTTTACCATTCTTACACTTGTGCGGCATTTTTGGAGCGAAACACTTAGATCGGCAGGCAACTGGACCAGAAAAGATTTGATTTGGGAGGATCACAAAATTCTTGTTGTTTTGATGGCGATCTATCTACTATTACACCGGGGATGAGGGGATGAGGTGGGTGGACGATGATGAAGCCATGACTGGATGGTCATGCAAGGTATGGAAGATGCTGAGGGATGGCATGTACATCAGCTGTATAGGCGCAGGTTGGAGGAGCCAGCAGGATGTATTATTTGGGACAAAATGAGGGTTGCGACGAAAACCTGTCAACATACTTCCAATTCCAGCTTTAGCTCCATCCCATCGCCAGTAAGACATGACTGTTCGTTGGCCAAGTTTCGTTCCACACACCACCATTCCAGTGAACTTACACCGTATCCAATCAGTGCCTGCTGTTATTTCAGCTTCTCTTTGTGTCGATCCAGGCAGTCCAGCCCATTCGATGCACCCAAGACACCTTCGACCATTTTACGACGTTATCCACGCTGGCGGTACCGAGCTGACATTGCAGCGGCCGCCATCGTGAGCACGTTATCTGTCATCAGACCGTCATGAAACAGCGGCCGCATCTGCGACCCGGTAGGAAGGTCAGCATAGTCGACGGATTTCCGGTGTGTGGCAAAAAGCGACCAGCTGCACGATGATCAGCAGGTGAGTGCATGAAGCCTCAGAATGAATGTGTCACGTGGTGTTGTGCGGTGGCTAAGCCCCCCTTTTTTCCTCACGCCATTTGCCAGGTTTTTAGTTTTGTTTGGGTTCCCCTTTTTTTCTTGTTTCTGAGGTTTCTAGGGTATTCCACCGTCCCTATGTAATTGGTGATCATAGCACAGCCATGACGCCGGACATGAAGCAGACGCCGTATCGCAAGAAGTGATGTTCATACACATTTCTTGCAGGTAGTTTTGCTTGCCAATTGGAGGCCTCACTTTCCTATTACTGTTCATCGTTCACCTGCCGTAGAATCATTTTCGCATCTGACATTACTACTATGCCCGTCAAGTTAGCCACCCGGTGTGTCAAACCCCAACCTGTACCACACTCAGCATATGGATACGCGCATCTGGCCGCAAGTTTGCCCCTTCTCTTGTCATATCCACTGTACACCACAATAATGCTGGCCTCCCTACCTCCCCGAAGACTGCCTCCTCGATTCTTGACAACCTGACGGTAAACATACATCCCTTCCACCCAAGAACAGCACAACACATGACCCCCCTCACGGGCCTATACCGTCACGTACGACCACAGACATCTGAGAACTCGGGATCCCGTCCGCTCTCCCATAGATAAGCAGGTGAATCGCCAGACTAGTACTCGGGTGGGTGACCACCGGGGAATCCCTGGTGTTGTACGTTTTTCTCTTTTTTACATCTTTTTGGCATCGTGTCGGTCCGTCCACGACTTGTGCCAGGTGGAGTGGAGGTTGCGAAGGGTGCATGCCCTCCTGAAGGAGCGCACGCTGGGTGGCTTGCCCGACATATTGCTGGCTGTGTTGAGAAATTCTGACGTCAAGGTGTTCGTCTTCATTCGCATGCTCCTTTCGACACGTCACGTCCGTTCCTTCCCGATCTGTTTCTGCCAACCTGTCGGTCTCCTTCTCCTTCCGCGAGTCAGCCCTCCCTTGATCCGCCCTGGAAGACATCCAATAACGACACCGGCTTCCATCAATCACAACAAGGTGTTCTCCTTAGCTCAGTTGGCTTAGAGCGTCTGACTGTTATTCACACAACGACATCAGGAGGTCGGCAGTTCGAGCCTGCCAGGGGAAGACGTGTTTCTTTTTTTGCTTCATTTTGTTGGTCGTCGCGACATGTCTTTCGTGTGGTCATGTTCGCTCGGGGTTTGCTAGAAGTTTGGTGGTTGTGTACTTGAGGGGGCGGTGTTAGTCGGAGGAAGCTGGTTCAGCTTCGGGCCAGCTGGCTGAGAAGTCTGCTGTCCAAGTCTGTGAGATCGGGGCGTTCTGTTGCCTTTCGGCTTTGCGTCCAGGGTATCAACGGTGTTTGGCTGGCGGATAAAGAACTCGTGCTTGTCATAACAACGACTTGTGTCAGGGGAAGAACGATCGAGGAGTGCGGTGGGTGGAAGACGGTCCGCAAAGCGAAGCTTGAGCCTCGGACTCCATCTAACCTCTGTGTGGTTCTGGGCTGTGAGCGAGAAGTCAGCTATGTTTGGCAAGGTCTGAACATCAAGTGACCATAGTAGGAAACGAGTGCTTTAAGATGAGTTGTCTGTGTGGCGGTCTATTCGTATCACTTTGGAGCTCTTGATGTGGATGGGCACTGGGTCTGTGTGTTGTGGTCGGGTCGTCTACAGGGAAAAGGGAAGAGTAGGACTTTACACATGGATCATGGAGCAAATCCAATCAGTATTGGGAGGAGGACCGGTTAGTGTATGTTGAAGGGAGCAGCTGTGTTCAACAAAGTGTTGTGGTCATTGACGGTCAGTGAATTCGGTGCGAGCTGTTGGATGGTTTGGGCCTGATCTCAAGGGCTCAATGGTGTCTGGTTTCGACTGAGGGACTGGGATATCTTGATGCTGGTCGACTCAACAATGATAATGCGGGCGGGTAAACTGCGACTGGTCTGTCGGGGTTTGTTGAAGCCGTCAGCGGCTATAGTGCTGGGTACCTGTTCTAGCGATTCTCGGGCTTTGTCGGGGCCGTCGAGTGTCCGACTCCTTCGCCATCTTCGAATGGTGCTACGTGCTCGTCGCCGCGGATGTTCATTCTGCGGCTAGGTGGCTGTGTCTCGGAGGCCGTTCGCCGGTTGGTGTTCTGTTATCGAGCGTTACCTACGAGTGCCGTGTGCGAGGTGCAGACAACTTGGACCGGGTCATGGACAGTCTCTCGTTTACGGACCGACTTCTGCCGCCGTCTTCCGTGGTCAAGTCGGATATCGGGGGGACGATGTGGGTGACGAAGCTGGTGATGTCGATCCCTCGAGGTCAACCGAGGCTGTCTGCAAGTGTGCTGGCGGAGTCCCGAGTGTAGCGTCGGAGTGGTCTCAAAATAGCGAGTGTCTCAGGTTAGCACGGGTTTTTGGGCCCGGGAAGATCACGCTATCGTGGCGAGGATGGTGATCCGACTGCCGGTCGCGTCTTGGCTCATTCCAAGCCGCTGTCTCGGACGGTTCGGTAGCTTATTCTTGTAAACCTTCCAGAAAGTTCTTCTGCGACTGTGTGTGTAATCCGTGATGGTGACACAAGATTGTCCGTCCATGCCATGGTCATGGTCATGGTAAGGTCGCGTAGCAGGCTTCGGTGCGGCCGCGGTGTGCTGTGGGTGGTCACGAGACTGGTGATCGTCGGGTGTTCTTCTTCGTTCTAGACTCGAGATCCTGTTCCAGGGAAACGAGTGGCAACAACATAGTCCTGGACGGATGGAGATCTCGTGGGTACGCGTTTAGATGCGGCGTCGAAGCAGACAGTGGACAGTTTCTCTGTCTAAAGTATTAGCTGGACCCCTTGTTCTCCCGGGTAGCCGCGGCCTGCGCGGGTAAGTCAAGATAAGGGTAGCCAGGGGGCCGTGGGTTTCGGTCCTGGTCCTGGTCCTGGTCCTGTAGATGATCTGATATTGGTCCAAGGGGCTGACACGTGTCAGGACCAGTCGCCCTGGTTTGGCCGTCATCATGGCCATCTCCAAGTGGCAATGATCCCCCCAGAGCGTGTATAAATCCAAGCTTTTTGCGGCTGAAGAACAAACAGCGGATGCCAGACGGGGACTGGGTTCCAGTGGACGGCGATCGAGCAGGTTGTTGTATCCCGGGGCTCGGGAGAAAGCTTGTGACGTGACGGCGGGCTGAGGTTGATGGTAGGTACCTAGACAGCGGGAATCTCAGTGGTATGGAGGCAGTCTTTGCTTGGGTTTGCAAGCATTAGTTTTGGAAGGGTGTTGCCATCTTATATCATGTTACGAACTTTGCGTTATGTAGCGACTTGGTCGAACATATGTTATGGTCAGGTCATAGACATGGTGTGACACGCCTTGCCCCAAGTCGATGGGATGCTCTCGCAGCGGTTCTGTGCCGCTATGGGCGCGTCCGCTTAGCAGTGTGGCTTCTCGTATCTTTAGCTGTCGATGGGGCATGGCAATTTAACGGCAACAGGCTCAAGCGGAGGCATGCTGTTTGAGGTAAAGCGGTGCTCGGTGCGCCACTGTACCGAAAGGCGACCTACATCACTAGCAACGGTCGTCATTGGTCGTGATAGTAGGTCTGTGAATGTAGATGCCGTGGGTCTAGCCTGTGACAGGGCGCCTTCTGTGGGCTTCCTGTGCTGACAAGAGAAGCCTGTTAGACAGATACTGTCCGCGACAATTTCCTGTTGATTCCGTCAGTATCTAGTGTCGCCACGACAGCAGTGTCACAATGAGGAGGGTTGCCGCCATCGTTCGGGACAACGGAGTCTAGCGAAATGCCGTCCTGGACAAATGATTGGCAAGGACTCTGGGTTGGTGAGAGGGCGGGAAGGCTCAGGGACCTTCTTTTGTGTCCGGCGACGGCGTATGTTATTCGTTCCGGAAGCCACGCCCGGTTGGGGCGGGCGGCATCTGCAGTGCACTACCTTAGTGCTACATAGATGCGGTGGACCCCTACTCTGCCACCACGCCCACCAGTGGACGAACGAGTGCCTCGCCGACGAATCCGGAGCATTCAAACCGGCTTGCGGACCGAGTGATGATCCCTGCGATAAGAAACCGGCGGACCATAGGCGACCTCCCATATAATAGGACATGGAGCGGTGAACAGTGGGCCATTCCCAACTTCCCCCGGACACACTTTCTTATCCAGTTTAGTTCCTTGTTATTGACATAAAGCCACGTGCCAGTCTAGGTCTGACAGCGTCGTCTAGAAAGCATAAGAGATAGCTCGGCTCTCCATCGCATATGTCCTACTTGATAGGCAATCGCAACGACACACACACTTACCAGACCCTAACCAGACAAGCCAACATTGAACACTCACCCGACCGTGGAGTGAATCTCGGCAGGAAGCACCCCACAACCGGTGACTCCTTCAACAACAACACGACTCCGAGGACCTCGCAGCTTCTGGAAGCCCCCTTTCAGCCTTACGGTCTAGTCTCGGTTGCGACGGCAATACGAGCACTAGAGACAAAGCCGATAGACCAAGGCCGCCTCTTAGCTTCTTGATGTAACGGTCGTAAGTCTCGTTACCTTTCCGCTCGCCTCCGCTATCGCCTGCTAGGGCTGGATGAAAGGGAGGGAGCAGCTCGGTACAGACTTAGACTTCCCGTACCACGTGTCCCTCCCGTCGAAGGGGCCGTTGCGAGATCTGCGCTCGGCCGCGGAAACGCACTTGCGAAAAACCTGCTCAAGGGAGAAGAAAGTATATAGAAAGAATTCGTCAGTGTCCGGATTCGAACAAATACGACGTTCAACTTGATCGAGAAAGTCAAAATACCGCATCGACAACAAACCAACAAACCACGAATATCGATATCGACAATATGGTTATCGAAGACGACGAGTTCGACAACTCATTTTTTGTCGATGGTTCCGAGGTATGAGATTTCACAAACCTGTTTTCTGTTGCTCCCTTTATCCCACGCGTCGTCTCACTTGAGACGCCGGCCCTGTTTTGTGTTCTCGATCAGCCAACTGAGGAAGCCCTAACGGCGGTCGAAAAATGAGAGGTAGGTGCTGAGAATGACCATGTCTTAATGTCGAGTGTGACGGGGAAGAGTGATGGGGGAGAACGACTGCCAGAGTTCAAGCGGCTTTGGCCGAAGGTGTTTGGCGATGTGTCACTGGCGAGCCATGAGTGGATGTGGCGAGTATAAGAGGACGGGATTGCGAAGCTATCACCTGCCATTCGGAAACGGGCGACTGGTGAGGAATGTGGACTGACCCTTCTGTATAGGGAATTGACGGGTGGTCACCGGACGACTTGGTGAATTTTAGTGGAGCAGACACGGCGGCCGGGGCCGTAAATCACCCCATTCCCGGGCGGGATCGGGCCCGAAACGCCCCACCTTATTCCTACACCTCCGCCATCTCCTCGGCACGAACCGGATCAGCCTTGGCGAACAACGCCATTATCGCTGGTCCACTGGGCTTCAATCAGCAGCAATTCTACGACCCGACATACACTGCTGGCGTCGACGATGGATGGACTGCCACGACATCCGCCTCCGGCTCAGGTTCGATCAACAGCAGCGACAACTCCTCCGGGTTCCCGTTCGGCAGTAACACCTTCATCGCCAACCCACAGCTCATACGACAACAGTATGCGCAAGTCGACGGCCGGAGTTCTTACCTTGCGGCAGCAGCCCAATCCTTTGCTCAGGTAGAGCCCAGTCTTGCGGCGAACCAGATCTGGGGGAGTGACATCGGCCTGGACCCTGTCGGCAGCACAGGGGGCATGGCTAGCTTCAACTTCTCTCCAGCCTCTCAGCCTGGCAGCTTCTTTGAAGGCTCCGCGGAGAGCCCGGAAATGTCGGGCGGGTCAGAGATCAACTTCAACGGCACGGCCGGTATTGCGAACTACACCTCGACATCCATCTCCTCGGCCCCGGAGTCGCCAATCTCAACGCGAGACCACCACGACAGCAAGCGACCCAAGAAGTCCGCCGCCTTTGCGCATGCTAGAGACGGCAGCCTCAGCACGTCGGCTTCCTCCTCCGGCCGCGGTGGAGCCAAGGGGAAGGCGAAAAGAGAGCTTCGGAGCGCCTCCCGCACGTCCAAAAACAAGCAGGATCGGGCCGCTGAGACGAGCGAGGAACAGAAATCGCGGAACTCGCACAACCTGGT